TCAAGTAGGTTAAGTCTTAGTTGTAAACCTCAGGCAAAGTTCCCAATAAAAACGTCTCTGGCAAAACACTCTTCCTGAGCCTCAAAAGGAGCTGGCCACCATTCCATGAATCTCAACAGCTACAACGCTTGAAGCAAACCTTCAGATGTTCTCCTCATCCTTGAATCAAAGAAGCTTCTCTGAACCAGAAATCCTTCCAGATCTTGGAGGTTCTGGCAGCCTTGCTGGCCAGGAGATCTGCCTGAAGTGGAGACAGACTTTCCTATCAGAACTTTGGGCTACCGCTAGTGACATCAACAGCTCTTCCTACCTGGGCTGCCCCGCTTGGGCCCTCCCGCTTAGGCCAGGGGTTCCCTTGCCCTATTCCTGTCCGACCTGGGGAGGTAAAGAACTTGGCTTTCAGTGACATTCCAAGAGAGCCATAGAGATGACAATTCACGGAGATGAGCAACACCACAGGGCAAAAATCAAACATCCTACAGTACTAAAAAGGGCTAAAAAACGGTCCTAGTAATTCTGCGGTTTAGAAGCCACCTAAGATTGAACAATAAATATATTATCCTTTTCTGATTCAATGGGTTAGAACAGGGTGTCAAACTCAATTTCATTGAGGGCCAGCCACTTCGGGGTTGGGTTTGACCTGCGGGGGATGGGGGAATTGCCAGGTTGGGCGTGGCCAGCTCAATGTCACTCATGTCAGGGATGCCTTTGGTGGCCAGAGAAAACGGAGTCCAGGGAGGCCGCATACAGCCCTCCTGGCAGAGGCCAGTCCTTCCCTGTCTCCAGGGTGGCCCCGTGGGGTGGATCTGGCCCCCGGGCCTTGAGTTTCACATCCGTGGGTTAGAAAACCAGAAGGAAAAAGAGAGCAAGGCTCCGTCCCAGGGCGAGATGGGTTTGGACGCCAAAGGTCAGCCTCATCCATCCAGAGAGTGCCCAGTGGGACCATAAGACGACACGGGAAGCTGCTTTTTTGTCCCTGCTTTAGCGCTGACCATGGAGAAGGGATGCAGAGTCATCAGAAAGGGGCAGCTGCTTGCTGGTGGACTTTTCTGGATCCACGGAGACGCAAGGAGTGTGGCTCGTGGGAGAAGTCACACCTGCCCACACTTCTGATGGTTAAGAAGGTGTCAGCCTTCAAGAATCCTTCTTCTGCTTGTCTTTCCGGCTGCCATAAAAATGGGGGGAGGGAAGATTAATTGGACCTAGTGCGGGGGGAAAGAATGCTGGAGGCTTGAGAGTGTGAAATGTAAAACTTGGGATGTTTTCTTGACTATGCTTACTTGCTTACTATGCAGATGTAGCCCCTTATCTATCCAGGCCAAGGTCAACTGTCCTGGCCTGCCAGATGTCTGAAACACCACCTGAAGATGCCCCACATGACATTATGCACACCTCAGATTGGATGGCCAGTTTGAACTACTGGGGGTGGGAACATGGGGATAACTTTCTATATGTGATTTTCGCACCTATCTTGTATTTCTTCTGATGCTACCACATCCATTTTCAGTAAAAGTCCTTTTCTCTCTAACAATGGAGTCTAAGGTTTCCTTTCTTGGATTTTGAACGGAGCCTCACCTGACATTATACAAGATCTGAGGCAATAGTGAACCAAAAGAAGCACAAGGTTGATGAAATGGTTAAAGCCATAGGAGACAACACATTTATTTGAACACGCGATTGTTCCAAAATCAGCCATAGTAGCACTTTTGGATTGCAAAGAGAAAAGATCGTGCACAATCTAAAGGAGAATTAAGAAATTCTTTATTCTGCTGTACAAAATAACAGGGACAACCACCACGCAGGCCCAGCTGGTTGCCCCCGGCAACAGGAAATTCCACCCAGGCGCTCAGGAAGGGAAAAATCATGGGATTTGCCCCTCCCCCGCTGTGCTCTCCCCCAGGGCCTCCAGATCGGAGGAGGAAGCTCATGGGGGGGGGGTGTACCAGAGTCTGGCTGAATCTCATCAGGGCCAGGAGGAAGACGAAGGCCCTCCTTCTCCTTCACCCCCCCCCCCCCCAATTCCCATCCCCGGAGCAGAACCGTATTTTCTCTACCAGGACAGAAATGAAAAGTCCCCGCAGGGCAAGAAGCCGCAAAGGGAACTCTGGTGCAAAAAGTTGAGCAGTTCATTCCAGTCAAAGATTGCATTTTTTGAGTTCATTCAGGTTTGCTAAGTACCTGACAATATTTCAAATTAAAGGAGGTGCAGCCATATAAAAATGTTTAAAAGTGGGTGAGAGGTTAAACGTAATCACTAATTTTATTACTTTTATTACTTGTTATTTTAACTTCCATTCACACTTCATCCTGTCAGATCCCAAACAGTTCCTGGATTAAAAATAAGGAGAATGATGCCATCCTCACATAGCACCACCTCCCCTGAGTATCCAATTCACATGGGGGGGGGGAGAAGAGTTGGGGTTGCTGCTGTGGGTCCAAGGAGGCACCTCTGGGGTTCAGGATCACATCTCTAAACCAGCAGAACCTGCCGCAAAGGTGAAAAACAGATCAGGGTTGCAGAATGCAAACCTCGCCCTTTCGGACCTGTAACCTGAGGCTGGACACAGGTCTGAGAGGCAGGGGGCACACCTGGTCACTTCTCCCCGCCACAAACACCCACGCTGTCAACCATGGCTAACTGCAAAGGTAAAACCAAAAACCACACCGTAGCAGATAACAGAGTTGGAAGGGACCTCGTAGGTCATCTAGTCCAACCCCCCTGCCCAAGCATTTCTGACAGATGGCCGTCCAGTCTCTTCTTCAAAGTCTCCAGGGATGAAGCTCCCACAACTTCTGAGGACAAGCAAGGTTGATTGTTCTCACAGTCAGAAATAGCTTTGTAAACCTGCTTGGTAAGATTTAATGGAGTCTGATTGGTTTTGGATTAACCAACAGGATGGGCAAATCATACCTCATGGTTTAGTGTGTTGTATGAAAAACTTATAACCAACCGACACACTGTATAATGGAAAGATGATTTTATTTGATGTTTTATGTTTGTGTTTGTCTATGTTTGTTGTAAAAATAAAATTCTTTTAAAAAAGAAAAACTTATGGCTTATTCAAATGACCAAACCCAGGGCTTAAGTGTAATGTGTGAATGCAGCTCCTTGGGGAAAGAGGAAGTCAGCTGGCTGGAGGTTCTCCCTTGTCTAAGCTCCATGTTCTTCAGCTGAGGGAGGGGGCACTGCTCCCCAGGACCACATGAGATCCCTTCCTGCTGGCCCAGTTATGATGAGAGATCTGAACACTGGAATTCATGAAAACGTTTCCTATTAATCCCAAAGGTTCTTCTGGGTCGAGACACAGCCCCCTCCCCTGCATGAAGGCTCAGTGGGCCTCTGGGTTCTTCTCCTGAGGAGATGTCAGTCTTAAGGGACCTGTGGGGGGGGGGGGGGCTTTCCCCAACAAACCTTCTCCCAGGATGTCCTATATATCAAGTACATGCTGCACCAAAGGCTGGATTCATACAATACAAGAAGCTGGGCTTGGAAACAGTCGCCAGGGACCAAGGGATGTTAGCCCTTGGACTCCTGAGACAGCCTGCAACCATTTCCATCCTGCTGTTTCGTTTCAGGGAAAGAAACTTCATATGAGAACAAGGAACAATAAGCCAAAAGAGTTAAAGTCGAAGAGTTTAAAAAAAAAAAGAAAAGAAAATTCACTTAAGACTAATCAATATTCATCTCCTACACTGCAAGGGATCCTTCCTTAAACCACAACCAACCCTGCTTGATCCCCACAACCCCAGCATTTATGTTTTCTTAAAATGTTCCCAATTTTGCAATGCAGATAATAAAACACAGGTCGCTGCACCAATTCGATTAATAAGTAATAACTATTCATTTCATGCCAGACCCCAAACTACCCTACTAAGAATTTGGCCATTTTGAAATTTATGTGCCCCTTTTCCCATCTTCACCAAGGGATACAAATTCATTTCTTAGTTTTTCTTTATTTATGGTGAATTGCTTGTTGTATTTTCCCTATCAAGCACAAACTCGGTACTGTTAAGACGCATTTTCAGATCTGCACTCTGCTTAATATCATATTTCACCAGCATCCAAGTCACATTTATGGATTTCCCAACCCTGTCAGGCAAAAACCTGTCCTGCCCTGTGCAAATCTTCATTTGCCTTTCGGAACCTTTGAATCAGCATCTGCCTAATCATATGTAATGATAACTTTCTATTGTGCAATGTCACCACCCCGGCATTCTCCCAGCGACCCAGATGCAGCTTTCGTGCAGCGGCTAAGCGAGGCACACAGCTGCTCCTCCGCCGGCCAGCCTGCCGGCCAAACGCTCACACCTCCACGCCCTTCTCTGCAGGTGCTCAGCTGCACCTCCGCCCCGCCGTCCCTCCCTCGCTCTTCCCTGGGGGGCGAGCACGGCTGTCGATCCTATTCGGGGGCCCATCGCCCCGGCGCCCAGCTGGAAAGCCGACTGCCAGCCCTTCGCCCATCCTCCGCCGGGCAGCCTCTTCTCCGGCTCCCCGCTTAGCCCTTCCAGCCCCGGCACGAAAGGGAAGCGCAGCACGAGACGCCTCCAGATCGGGGCTCCTTCCCCGGGGCCGCTGAAGGAACCGGCCGGGGCTCCTCCGAGGCCCGGCCTGGCGCGCGGGGGCTGAGGCCAGGAGGCTCCGTCCGCGGCGGGGGCCTCCCTCGCAAGCGCCGACGCCCAGCCGCCCGGACCCCGCCGCGCCCGGGAGGCCGCTGCGCCTCGACGCCCGGCCGGGATCCCCCGGCCGGGCCTTCGCCTCCCGCTGGCCCGCCTCAAACCCACGAGAGGCGGCGACGCCCCTTCCCGCCGCCCCAGCTGCAGCGGCGCCCGCCGAGCCGCCCCGGCCCTCCTGCGCCGGCTGCAGCAGCGGCGGCGCGCGAGCCGAGAGGCCGGCGGCGCTCGGCGGGCAGCGGAGAAGGCGGTCGCCGCGCTCCGCCTCCCCGGCATCTCTCCCGCGAAGGCAGCACGCGGTCCGACACCCCCCCGCTCGCCCCGCTTACCGGAGAGCCGCCGCCGCCGCGGAGCCAGCCGAGGGCGAGGAGGCGGCGAGGAGCTGCCGTCCGCCGGGGAAGGGCGCGGCGCGAGCCCGGATGGAGGGGAGGGCGCCGGGCGGGGGTCTTCCGCTTCCTGCATCGGGGGTCAGCGGGTGGGGGCCGGGCTGCTCTGGCTCCCGCGCCGATGCCGGCCGAGTCCGCCCTCCCCGGCCCTGCCCGCCCGCCCGCCCGCCCAAGCTGCGCAGCCGGGGAAGCGCAACCCCGCGGCGGGCGCTCGGCTCCGAGTCCCGAGAGCGCGGATCCCCCACACGCCGCCCCGGCAAGGCAAACGCGGCGCGGCCCAGACGGGCAACTGTGGCCGGGCAGCCCCCGCCTCTGCCGGCCCGTCTGCTGGCCCCTCCCCTCCCCTCGGCTGGAGGCTGCGGGGCGCCCCAGAGGCGGCCGCTGCGCAGGGAGGGGAGCCGGGCAGGCGGCCGTCTGCAGCGGGGGAAAGCTGCGGAAAGAGGCGAGCCGAGCCGAGCCGAGCCGGCGGCTGTTTCCCCAGGCAGCCTCTGCTGGAGGCGGCCAGGCGGAGCTTGTCCTTGGGGCTCCCGGCGCCTCGTCCCGGCCAATGCCACCCCTCGCTCAAAGGAGCCGAGCCACACCTTGGAGACAAGCCGATGTCCCTGAAGGCGAGGCTGGGTGGTCCAGGCCTTGGCCGGGCTTAGCCCAGACCCGCCCTGCTGTGCTGGGCGAGGGTTCCTGGCGGCCATGCCTCCCAGGTGACCTGCGGTGCCTCCTCCGCGGTCCTGGGGCCCAGTGCTCAACCCACCAAAAACATAACTGTAATAGACCAGAAATAAAAGTTAAAATAATAAAAAAAAAAATAGTAAGAGAAGACCTGTCTGATCTTGATGAAAACAAATCACCAAGGCCTGATGGATCACATCCCAGAGTTTTAAAGGAGCTGGCAGAGGTCATCTCAGAACCACTGCACCATATCTTTCAAAAATCCTGGAGCACCGGGGAACTACCAGAGGACTGGAAAAGAGCTGATGGGGTCCCCATCTTCAAAAAAGGAGAAAAAAAACAGACCCAGGAAACTATAGACCAATCAGCCTAACATCAAACACCTAGAAACAAGTAAAGTAAGAACTAGCAGTCAGCCCAGGTTTGTTAAGAACAGATCATGCCAAACCAATCTTATTTCATTCTTCAACACAGTGACTAAATTAGTAGACCAGAAAAATACTGTGGACATAATATACTTAGATTTCAGCAAGGCATTTGACAAAGTAGACCACAACCTACTTCATGGTAAGCTACAAAAAAGTGGGATAGATAGCACCACCACTAGATGGACTCACAACTGGCTGGCAAACCATACTCAACAAGTAGTCCTTAATGGGTCTAAGTCTACATGGAGGGAAGTAAGCAGTTGGGGTGCCACAAGGTTCCGTCTTAGGCCCAGTACTCTTCAATATCTTCATTAACATAGATGAGGGAATAGAAGGGGAACTTACCAAATTTGCAGATGATACTAAGCCGGCAGGAATAGCTAACACCCAAGAAAATAGGCTCAAGATCCAGATGGATCTTGACAGACTAAAACACTAGGCCATATCTAGCAAAATGAAATTCAATGTAGAGAAAAGCAAAGTCTTACACTTAGGCAAGAAAAACCAAAGGTACACATCTAGACTGGGTGAAACCTAGCTCAATAGCAGTAGCTGTGAGAGGGATCTTGGAGTCTTAGTGGACAACCCGCTAAATAGGGGCCAACAGTGTGCAGCAACAGCCAAAAAAGCTAATGCAATCCTAAATTGCATTAACAGAGGGATACAATCAAGATCAATTGAGGTACTAATATGACTCTATAAAGCCTTAGTAAGACCACACCTAGAGTCCTGCATCCAGTTTTGGTCACCATATTATAAAATAGATGTTGAGACTAGAGTACAGAGAATAGCAACCAGAATGATTACGGGACTGAAGGCTAAAACATACAATGAACGGTTGCAGGAACTGGGCTTGGCTAGTCTAGTGAAAAGAAAGACCAGGGACAGAATAGCAGTCTTCCAATATCTGAGGGGCTGCCACAGAGAGGAAGGAGTCATGCTATTCTCTAAAGCAGGGGTCGCCAACCTTTTGGACCTCAGGGACCAAACTCATTTAAATCCCAGGGACCACTAATATGAATTTTGACTGACGATGGCTTGCTGACTTTGGTGGGAGAGATATCTAACCTCTCTCTCTCTCTCACGCATACACACAAACACACAGAGGGAGGGGTGGTTGTAAATTTCTTAACAACCTGTTCTGTGGGCTTGGCCTAATTTGGGGGTGTGGTTTGGTGGTCATGTGACTGGCTGGGCACGGCTTGTATATAAATATTATATTTATGTAAACATTGATTTTTTTATTTAAAAAAGAGCAATTTTTACCCCAAATTAGGCAAAGGCAGGCAGATTGAGTTGCTCACAGAATCACAAATTCACTCTTTCTGCCATCGGTTACCTGAATTTGTCACATAAAATTTGCTTGCAAGCAAACTCACAAAAGTAACTCACAACACACCATGTATGTAAATATTGAATTTTTTGTAATAAAAAGAGCAATTTCTACCCAAAATCAGGCAAAACAGACAGGCACATCGAATTGCTCAACAGAATCAATTTCATTCAGAGATCTATCTTTCTGCCATCTGCTACCCGAGTCTGCATTGAATAACAGAAGCTTCTGTCCTAAGGAAGGTTTGGCTCTGCTTAAAAGCAAAGCCGAACATCTAAAGATTAGCTAGAAAGCAAGAAATTCAACGATTTCCTGCTTTCTAGCTAATCTAAATATCCCAGCACAGCAGAACAGCTGATGGCGGGGGGGGGGGAAAGGAAAAATAGCAACTTAGCAGGCAAGTTTGCCAGGTAACGAGTGGGTGGGAAGGGTTCCTGCGGGCCACGTGGGCGGCACAGTGTTCCCACACAACCTGGATTGTTTTGGGGGTGCTCTGGGGGTGGCATTTCTCTGCAGACCACCAAAATTTTCTTGCGGAACACCAGTGGGCCGTGGCCCACCAATTGGTGACCTGTAGGCCAGACAAGGAACAATGGATGGAAACTGATCAAGGAGATTCAAGCTGGAAATAAGGAGGAATTTTCTGACTGAAAACAATCAACCCATGGAACAGAAGTTGCCTTTGGAAATTGTGAGAGGTTCATCACTGGAGGCTTTCAAGAAGAAGTTGGACTGCCAAATATCTGTCAAATATGGTGTAGGGTCTCCCGCTTGGGTTGGGCTAGATGAGCTACGAGGTCCCTTCCAACTCTGATTATCTGTTAAGTGGCTCCTGAGCTTGTGCTCAGGGCACCAGGCCCGACGGGTCCCCCGAAGCTGAGCAGATGCTTCGGCTGTACAGTGCGGGGCAAGCGGGATTGGTCGGCGCTCAGGGCACCCGCGAGCCTTCCTCCGCCACTGCTCGGGCAGGCTGGGCGGCGCGACCCGGGGCTGAACTGGGCAGGAGGCCGCTATCGGACGCCTCTCCCGATGCAGCCGGGCCAGGCTGGGGAAGCAGCGGCTTGTCCTGCTTGGCTTCTCGTGGTGGCCGCGGCCGTCGGGGGAACAAGAGGCAGGCGCCGGGCGGGCGTTTTTCCGACTCTCCGCGTCACCCTTCGAAGCGAGCCGGGGGCGGAGCGGGGTCCGCTCCTTGAAAGCTGCTCTCGCCGCCCGCCTTGCCAAGCCACGCGGGCGCCGGGCGGGGAGGAGCGGGGGAGACGCGCGCGCACTTTCAGCGACTCCGCCTCGGAGCGGCGGACTGCATTTCCCGGCTTGCCCAGCGCCTTAAAAGGCCAGCGCACGGTCGCTGGACTTGGCCGGCCGCCGCTTCCGAGCCCCCCCTGAACGCCGCTCTCGGTGGGCGGCCGCGGCGGGCGGGATGGCCGCGGACTGGACGGTGGTGGTCCTGACCTGCCAGCACAGGGACAGCGCCTTCGCCTTCCAGAGAGGTGAGAAGCGGCTGGCCCGTTTCGGTGGGGAAAAGGCCGAGCCGTTTCTCCTTCCAGCCGCCCCGCAGCTGCTCAGCGCAGTTCGCTTACGGGAGCGAGGATGGAGCCCCTCTGGGCACGGAAGCCCTTTGGGAGGCGAAGGCGGCGAGGACGGGCGGGTGGCGGGGTCTGCGGGAGAAGGAGCCCTTCTCCGAGGTCCAGGCCAGCAGCCTCCCGGGACCCGCTTGAGGGCATCCCCGAGAGGCCAAAGGGAGGTCGCCTTTCCCCAGCTGGCCACGATCTGGTGCTTCCTTGCTTTCGGGGGGGGGGGGGGCCCTTCTGGGGAGGCCCCGGGCTGAGCCCCTGTTGGAGGCGGGGACAGCCGTGAGCTCTCTCTTTGTGTGTGTGTGTGTGTGTGTGTGTGTGTGTCTCTGCTTCCTGGTTGCTGTCCTGCCTGGGGCTCTGGCTGGTCTCCGCCAAGGGCTTCCTCCGTGGGGGAGAGGATGCTTGGTCTGGTCCAGCGTGGCTGCCTGCATCCTTCCCAAGCGGCTCCTTATTCTTCCTAAGCCTGCCGGCCGCCCACTTCTGCTTTGTCCTCTGCACCTTCCGACAGCAACCGTGGCTGCTCAGGAGCCCAGGCCTTGGCCACGAACTCCGCTGCTCCTTTCCTCAACCCCTTTCTGTGGTCCAAGCAGGAAAGGGGAATAAAGCGGTTTGGGACCAATGGGTTCTACCCTCTATCAGCTCTGCCTTTGGTGACGCAGTCAAGAGGGGCAGGAGGAGGAAAGGGCTCCAGGGAGGCTGGGAGCTCACCTTGGTGTCCCGGAAGCCTTTGCACTGCTCCTGCCTTTCGGGGGTGCCCTGGTGGCATCCCGATTGGAGCTTCCTGGGCAGCCAGTGGCCTCCTTGCCTGGCTAGTCCTGACCACACCCCGCACGGACTGGCTGACCCTTTGTTTGCCTTCCAGAGCTGGAGATCCGCCGAGACAGAGGCTCCCTGGGCCGGGAGACCATCCTGCTCACCGTGGAAGACCCCAAAGCCCAGGTGGGCAGTGGAGGGGCTACCCTCAATGCTCTCTTGGTGGCAGCAGAACACCTGAGTGCTCAGGCCGGTCATACGGTAAGCCCCCCCAACATCTCCTGCCTCACCCCCAGCTCACCTGCCCCCTGAGCTCCTGCTTTTCAGCTTAGCTGGGACCCCAACAGGTCAG